GCGGAAATGACGCCAATGCTGCAGCGCGAGCAAGATTCGGAAAGAGCTGAAGCGCGGAAATGGAGCAGGCATTGCAGCGGGAGCAAGATTCCGAACGAGCGGAAGGCCGAAAATCTGGCCAGCGCTTCAGTGGAAACAACATTTTGAACATTAGCTTGGCGAAGGACCCAACCATTTGCAGTTGTGAGTACCGCAGTTGTGAATATCTTCCTCGGTGGCGCTCCCTATGGGGCAACGAAACGCTGTACTGGGTGGGTGAAACGCAGGGAGCAAGGGCCGTGTTGGGTGGTGGCGGACGCATGCGGGCGGTGCCACTGGGACCTTCGGTGGAGCCCCCGATGGGGCCACGAAACGCTGTACTGGGTGGGCGAAACGCAAGGAGCAAGGGCTGTGCTGGGTGGTGGCGGACGGTTGCGGGCGGTGCCACTGGGACATTCGGTGGGGCCCCCTATGGTGTCACGAAGCGCTGTGCTGGGTGGGTGAAGCGCAAGGAGCAAGGGGTGTGCTGGGTGGTGGCGGACGCATGCGGGCGGTGTCACTGGGACCTTCGGTGGAACCCCCTTTATGGGGCCACGAAGCGCTGTGCTGGGTGGGTGAAACGCAGGGAGCACGGGCTGTGCTGGGTGGTGGCGGACGCATGCGGGCGGTGCCGCTGGGACCTTCGGTGGAGCTCCCTATGGGGCCACCAAGCGCTGTAGTGGGTGGGTGAAACGCAAGGAGCAAGGGCTGTGCTGGGTGGTGGCGGACGCATGCGGGCGGTGCCACAGGGACCTTCGGTGGAGCCCCCTTATGAGCCACGAAACGCTATAACGCTGTGCTGGGTGGGCGAAACGCAGGGGGCAAGGGCTGTGCTGGGTGGTGGCGGACGCATGCGGGCGGTGCCACTGGAGGTTTCGGTGGAGCTCCCTATGGGGCCACGAAGCGCTGTGCTGGGCGGGTGAATCGCATGGAAGAGGGAGGAGGGAGGAGGAAGGGGAGGATGAGGAGAAGAGGAGAGGAACTCGGGGACCGTCTCTTCAAAACGAGGACCCAGAACCAGAGGATGGTTGGGAACAAAACAAGCGAAATTAGCCTGGCGAGAGACCCAACCATATGCAGTTGTGAGTACCGCAATTGTAAGTATTTTCTTCGGTGGCGTTCCCTATGGGGCCACGAAGCGCTGTACTGGGTGGGCGAAACGAAGTGAGCAAGGGCTGTGCTGGGCGGTGGCGGACGCATGCGGGCGGTGCCACTGGGACCTCCCGTGGAACCCCCTTCATGGGGCCACGAAGCGCTGTACTGGGCGGGTGGAACGCAGGGAACAAGGGCTGTGTTGGGTGGTGGCGGACGCATGCGGGCGGTGCCACTGGGACCTTCGGTGGAGCCCCCGATGGGGCCACGAAGCGCTGTCACGAAGCGCTGTACAGGGTGGGCGAAACGCAGGGAGCAAGGGCTGTGCTGGGTGGTGGCGGACGTATGCGGGCGGTGCCACTGGGACCTTCGGTGGAGCTCCCTATGGGGCCACGAAGCGCTGTGCTGGGTGGGTGAAACGCAGGGAGCACGGGCTGCGCTGGGTAGTGGCGGACGCATGCGGGCGGTGCCATTGGGGACCTTCGGTGAAGCTCCTTATGGGGCCACGAAACGTTGTACTGGGTGGGCGAAACGCAGGGAGCAAGGGCTGTGTTGGGTGGTGGCGGACGCATGCGGGCGGTGCCACTGGGACCGTCGGGGCTGTGCTGGGTGGGCGAAACGCAGGGAGCAAGGGCTGTGCTGGGTGGGTGCGGACGCATGCGGGCGGTCCCGCTGGGGGCTTCGGTGGAGTTCCTCATGGGGCCACGAAGCGCTGTGCTGGGTGGGTGAAGCGCATGGAAGAAGGAGGAGGGAGGGGAGGAGGGGGAGGAGGAGGAGAAGAGGAGAGGAACGCAGGGACCGTCTTTTCAAAACGAGGACCCAATATCAGCTGGACGTCATCAGGGGAGCGAGGAGAGTAGTATTCATATTGTGTAACTGTGGGGGGTAAGGTAGGGGGGGGGGAGGGAGCAGAGAGAGGGGGCGGATGCCGGATCGCACCATCCCTACGGTCCCGGCCGCCCCCGAGGTAATGGGCGACAATGGAAAGCTCTACGTGGCCGAGGCCTGGCCTCCCGCCCCCTCGCCGCCTCGCCTCGGGGGGGGGGGGGGGGGGAGAGGGAGGGACGGAGGGGGGGGGGGGGGCGGAGGCGGAGGAGGGGAGAGGAGGGGGAGGGATGGTGCGTTAGGAGGAGGAGGAGGAGGAGGAGGAGGAGGAGGAGGAGGAGGAAGAGGAGGAGGAGGAGGAGGGGGAGGAGGGGGAGGAGGAAGGGGACTTGAAGTCATATGGCTTCAGGGGCGCCTTAACCCCATATGATACGGCCTGCGGCCGTCGCCGTCCAGAACGCCTGGAACAATGTCGCTCTGGGCTACGAGCCTGCCATATTCGCAGGAAGGCCACAGGAGGGTGTCAAACGGGTCCCCAGGGCGGTCACAGGATGGCCTATAAAGAAAAGCAACACCGTGGAGTGGGGGAAAAGCGTTTTCGAGGCTTCCGCCGGCTGCGCCGCTTGCTGGCCGAAGCGTGGGACTTTGCTGATGGGAGGGCACGATTTGTCCCCAGATTTCTTTCGCCGCAATGCGTACCTGTAGACAAGCAAAGAAATCCACACAATTTCCCGTGGGATCTCCGCGGGGCGTATAAAAATAACGCTTCGGTTTTCCGCTAAATCACATGGCGCGCATGTTCGCCGCCCATGTCATCAGAAGGCCATTGCTGGGGTAGTCAGCGTGAGAATTCTGGAATCCATACGTGTTTGGGGGGATGAGCAGATCCCACGGAGAATTCCACGGGTTCCTGCCAACTGATGCGTTGCCAGGCAGAAGAGAGACCACCACCGCGGGGCGGCCCCCGCAAGACTCACGGCGGGGCGCACCGGAGAGGGCGTGGACGGAGGTGGGCCACAGCGGGGCGCTACGATTCACAGGTAGCTGCCTCGGCCAAGCCTGCGGTTCCTGGATGGCGACCGGGGCGGCGGAGGCTGGCAGGGCCGTCTTTGGGCCCGAGGCTGGCTCGAAGAGGGGATTGGAGAAGCCACCACCACCCAACACCACCGGCCCGACGGGCAGCAGGGATGGGGGAGGCAGGCGATCCCCGTGGGTTAGCAAAGACAGAGGGCCGGAGGGCGGGGAGGGCGGGTTGCTCCAGAGCGCCGGAACGAAGCAAAGGAGAAGACATGCCCTTGCGGTTTGGGGGTCTTCCCTGTCCTTTGTGGGCACGGGTTGGGTGGTAGGGAGCGGTGCCGACCGCCAAAGGTGACGCCGAAGCGGCAAAGGTCGACCCGTCACCCGAATGGGCGGGGTGGGAAAAAGGTCCAGCACCCCGTGGTGACAGGTGTAAGGGTGGGAGGCGGCCAAAATGCCATGATGCATCGGAAAACTGCCGTTGACAGGCACAATGAGCCTGCAGGGGAATGAATCCCGTTCACGGCATCAAGGAGGAAAACCGCGCGGGGGGCAATTGACGCCAGAATGGAAAGTTGTGGAAGGTGTGGAGGTACGTTGGACCCTCCTCTAGGGACGTCTTCGTTGGCCGAGGGTCCCTAAAGGAGTCCTCGGCCCCCTTCTGTGGCTACTGACGCCGTCATGAGTAGGTGTTGGGGGGGAGTCCACGCAGCCCCGATGATGGAAGCTGCGCGGGGTGTGTGAGGCCTTTTGGCGGTCCTCCCGGGTGAGGCTTAAAGACGGTCCTCACCCAGGGGGGGGGCGACAGGGAGGGGGTACAAGCGCTTCTCGAAGTGGCTCCTGGTGACGGTCCTGAGGCGGGATTCCTGACAAAGGGAACCCAAAGGGGCGGGATTCCTGAGGCGAGGAGGCAGAGGGGAGAGGAGGGTAGGGAGAGGAGTAGGGAGAGGAGTAGAAGTAGGAGGAGGAGGAGGCGGAGGAAGAGGAGGAGGAGGAGGAGGAGGAGGAGGAGGGAGGAGGGTAATTGTTTTTGGCATCCACGGTCGAAGACCCTAGTAACATGGGGCAAGTGCTCCAGTCGAGCTTTCTCCAGTTTTCTCTCTTGTGCGGGTGAGCGAGCGGCTTGCACGGTGCAGGCAACTTCGCCAGTCGCTCACTTTGGGCGTAACCCCCACAGCGCCGGCAGATGCTCACGAAAGACTCGTCGCTACAACCCAGCATAATGCAACTGTGCCCAAGGTCACGCAGAGCCTGCGAGTGAACTCTCAAGTGCCTGGTGCGCTTCCGACTCGGCGGCGTTGCAGACGAGCGGGAACCTCGTAAACACAGCATTGCCATAATTTGCGAGGCGGCCTGTCTCCTCCCGCGGCTTCTTGAAAAGCTGGGCTCCGCCCAGACGAGTACGAGGCCAGAGGGGCAAAATCTGGGCCGAGAGCTTCACGGCCGCTCTCGACAACGTTACAAGATGGTCAACGAGTCGGTGCTCTTCCTCCGACGCACCTGGGTGAACGGCCGTCCCAAGCGTGGCCGCCCTGTCAGCCCAGTCATTCCAACGGCGCCGATTGAGCCCGTCCGAATCCAGAGACACGTCGAGCTCCAGATGGGCCGCAACTTTGTTCACCACCGAGACCAGTCCGTCGGATAAGGCGTCAGCCTGCAGGAGTAATCCGGAATACATGCGTTGGTGAGAGTAACGATCAGGCCTGGGCACGTTCCACGACATGACCGCATTCTCACAATCGGACTTCAAACGAGCAGCTTGAGTAGGCAGGTCTGCTGCAGTGCGTGCAGGAGCCCCGAACTCAGCTCGTTGACCCGTCTGCGGACAGCTGGAACAGAGTGGGCCGTAGGGCAAACCACGCAACTGGCCGTCGGCAGCAGGCTTCGCAGTCCCAAACCCGCCCTCCACAGCTCTTTGATGGGCGACTTCATACGCGAGCCATCCAGGAAGACGTCCCCCATCAGGGTACGCTCCGAGACCGAGTGCACGGCGAAGCCATCAGATGTATCCTACTGGGAGGCCGACGCCTGGGTGCCAAAGCTCTTAGTAAACTTGAGCAGGGAAAGCCTCGTCCTGTCTGGGGGGTCTGGGCCACCAGTCGACAGGATTTGAGGTCGGGCCAGTCTCTCGAGCTGCAGCATGTCCACATCTGGCGAGTCATCTCGCCTGGCATGCTCCAGAGTCTTCCTCGGGACTAGCTCTGTTCTATCGGATTCACAAGCGCTGCACACACAATACGTGATGCATGGTGTCTCCAGGTTGCCCACAAAGAGGGCAGGTTTCATCGACTCGGCAACCTGCTGCCACAGCACGAGACAACGGCCAGACACGTCGACAAGCCCTCCGTGCGGATGCAGCCTTTCTATTGGACGCCCTCCGTGCGGATGCAGCCTTTCTATTGCACCCTTTCTATTGGAAGGACAGCCTGGCTCCCGAACCATACGTTTCCCCCGCCTCACTCTCCGGTGCCCTGCAAGCTTAATCCTGAAGAGCTTTTCTTGAGGAGAGGGGGGGAAGTGAGGGGGATGGAGTGGAACACCCCCAAATCATCAATTCTTCACGCTTCGCGTATCCCCACCAGCCCATCTCAAAACAGCAACTCTTGCGAAGCATGCCGACAGTCGTGTTTTTCAGGCGTGTTTCCGCCTGCCCCCGCATATCTCCCCTGTTCCTCCTTCCTCCCGCCTCCTTGTACATCCTCCTTGTGGTGGGAGCGGGAGAAGGACGAGGCGGAGGAGGAGGGAGAGAAAGCGGTGGGAGGCAAGAGGGATTTAGCGGAGACGACGACCACAGCGATGATCCTAACAACGACGACGCACCCGACGACGACGACGATATCGACCGCGACGACGACGACGACCACAACCGCGACGACGACGACGACGACGACGTCGACGACGACGACGACGAAGGCGGCGCGACGACGACGACGACGACGACGACGACGACGACGACGACGACGACGACTGGTGGGAGTCGTTGGGGCCCCTCGTGGTGTGAGTCGTTCGGCCCCATCGTCCTTGTGTGAGTCCTTCGGGCCCCTCTTCCTGGTGTGAGTCGTTCGGGCTCCTCGTGGTGTGAGTCGTTCGGGCCCCTCGTCCTGGTGTGAGCCGTTCGGGCTCCTCGTGGTTTGAGTCGTTCGGGCCTCTCGTCCTGGTGTGAGTCGTTCGGGCCCTTCTTCCTGGTGTGAGTCGTTCGGGCTCTTCGTGGTGTGAGTCGTTCGGGCTCTTCGTCCTGGTGTGAGTCGTTCGGGCTTCTCGTGGTGTGAGTTGTTCGGGCCCCTCGTCCTGGTGTGAGTCGTTCGGGCCCCTCCTCCTGGTGTGACTCGTTCGGGCTCCTCGTGGTGTGAGTCGTTCGGGGCCCTCGTCGTGGTGTGAGTCGTTCGGGCTCCTCGTGGTGTGAGTCGTTCGGGCGCCTCGTCCTGGTGTGAGTCGTTCGGGCCCCTCCTCCTGGTGTGAGTCGTTCGGGCTTTCGTGGTGTGAGTCGTTCGGGCCCCTCGTCCTGGTGTGAGTCGTTCGGGCTCCTCGTGGTGTGAGGCGTTCGGGCACCTCGTCCTGGTGCGAGTCGTTCGGGCCCCTCGTAGTAGTAGTAGTAGTAGTAGTAGTAGTAGTAGTAGTAGTAGTAGTAGTAGTAGTAGTAGTAGTAGTAGTAGTAGTAGTAGTAGTAGTAGTAGTAGTAGTAGTAGTAGTAGTAGTAGTAGTAGTAGTAGTAGTAGTAGTAGTAGTAGTAGTAGTAGTAGTAGTAGTAGTAGTAGTAGCAGCAGTAGCAGTGACACTAGCAGTAGCAGTAGCAGTAGCAGTAGCCGTCGTAGTAGAATTTGTATTGGTAGTAGTAGTCGTAGTAGTAGTAGTAGTAGTAGTAGTAGTAGTAGTAGTAGTAGTAGTAGTAGTAGTAGTAGTAGTAGTAGTAGTAGTAGTAGTAGTAGTAGTAGTAGTAGTAGTAGTAGTAGTAGTAGTAGTAGTAGTAGTAGTAGTAGTAGTAGTAGTAGTAGTAGTAGTAGTGTAGTCGTAGTAGTAGTAGTAGTAGTAGTCGTAAGTAGTAGTAGTAGTAGTAGTAGTAGTAGTAGTAGTAGTAGTAGTAGTAGTAGTAGTAGTAGTAGTAGTAGTAGTAGTAGTAGTAGTAGTAGTAGTAGTAGTAGTAGTAGTAGTAGTAGTAGTAGTAGTAGTAGTAGTAGTAGTAGTAGTAGTGGTAGTAGTAGTAGTAGTAGTAGTAGTAGTAGTAGTAGTAGTAGTAGTAGTAGTAGTAGTAGTAGTAGTAGTAGTAGTAGTAGTAGTAGTACTAGTAGTAGTAGGAGTAGTAGTAGTAGTAGTAGTAGTATAACAGTAGTAGTGGTAGTAGAAGTAGTAGTTGTAGTAGTAGAAGTAGTAGTCGTAGCAGCAGTAGCAGCAGCAGCAGCAGCAGCAGTAGTAGTAGTAGTAGTAGTAGTAGTAGTAGTAGTAGTAGTAGTAGTAGTAGTAGTAGTAGTAGTAGTAGTAGTAGTAGTAGTAGTAGTAGTAGTAGTAGTAGTAGTAGTAGTAGTAGTAGTAGTAGTAGTAGTAGTAGTAGTAGTAGTAGTAGTAGTAGTAGTAGTAGTAGTAGTAGTAGTAGTAGTAGTAGTAGTAGTAGTAGTAGTAGTAGTAGTAGTAGTAGTAGTCGTATCCAAGGCAATAGGGAGGCCTCTTGGAGGCCGTTTTGGGGCCTCTTGGGCTCTCTTTTGAGCCTCTGGGGAACGTCCGAAGGCTCTCTGGGTCGCCTCTTGGAGCGTCTTGGGGGCCTGATGAGGCCATCTTGGGGGCGATCGGTCGCAGATGGGGCGAGCATTTTTCAGTGTCCCCCCCCTGGGGGCGACGATCCTCGTGAGGGGTGCCGAATTTTAGCCCTCCCAGGGATAGAAAAAGGACCCTCTGACCACCCGCGGAAGGCCCCCTCCAGGTCCAGGGGGAGGGGGGAGGGGGAGGGGTAACACCCTCCCCGAAGGGGAAGAAGGGAGGTTGAGAACAGAGCGGACTCCCTAAACCACTCACGCCCAAAGGGCTGGTGGGATTATACCAAAAGGCTTGTCCAGAACCCAGCCAAGTCGGGCAAGCACGACGCATAGCTCCAAGGGTCCCTTTGATGGATCTCCAGTTTGGGCACGGACGACGACGAGGAGAATGACGAGGGCGAGGAGGTGGAGGAGGAGGAGGAGGAGGAGGAGGAGGAGGAGGAGCGAGGAGGAGGAGGAGGATAAGGAGGCTGAGGAGAATGAGGGGGAGGTGGAGGAGGATGAGGAGGAGGAGGAGGAGGAGGAGGAGGAGGAGGGGAACGGATGACGAGGAGGAAAATGGCGGAGAAGGAGGTCGTAGGAAGAAGACAGGGAGGAGGAGGAGGAGGGGAGGAGGAGGAGGAGGAGGAGGTCGAGGACGAGGACGAGACGAGGACGAGACGACGGAAATGGAGGAGGAGGAAGGAGGAGGAGGAGGAAGAGGAGGAAGAGGAGGGAGAGGAGGAGGAGGAGGAGGAGGAGGAGGAGGAGGAGCAGGGCGCGCCGCGCAGCCGAGGAGGTCGTCTCGGTCTACCGGGAGGAAGTGCTGCCGCACGTCACGGTCCTCACGCCGAACCAGTTCGAGGCGGAGCCGCAAACGCAGCCCGGTCTGGGCCCAGACACCTCCCCCCAGGGTCGCAGGCCGAGGTTTCGCACGTTCTCGCGAGTTTGCCCGCAGGTTCTGATGGGCGGATTTTCCCTCCCACCACCACTGCCATAGGTAGGAGAGGGAGGAGGAGGAGTAGGAGGAGGAGGAGGAGGAGGAGGAGGAGGAGGAGGAGGAGGAGGTGGAGGTGGAGGAGGAGGAGGAGGAGGAAAAGTAGGACAAGGAGGAAAAGGTAAAGGAGGAGGACGAGGAGGACCTCCCCATCCTCCCATCTCCCCCGCCCTACCTGTGGTAGTGGTGGTGGCAAATTGGCCCATCATTTTTTCCAGCCTCGGGGTGCCTTCCAGCGGCTGCCCCCTCCGAGAGCGTTGCGGGGGTGCCCGGATCGCTCCTAGCTTTGACCCCCAAAAGACCATCCTTCTTTCGGGGGAGGGCCGGTTGAGACAACTGTCCTTCCCCAGGCTGGCCGAAATCCGTTCAAAATCACTCCCTAGACACCGGGCCCCTTTCCAGGGTGCATCTCGATCCACTGCTCGAGGCGGACCAGCCACGGCGACGTGAAGTTCCCAGGGGGGCCCAAGACTTACGAAAGATGTCGAGACTGCTCACTGGACTGCTCATGTGGGGAAAAGCTCCCCGGGGCCGTGACCGCCCCGCTGCGAGCGCCATCACCCCTAAGGGCCTATGGGCCAACGCAATCCTCCTCCTCGATCCTCTATCCTCCTCCTCCTCCTTCTCCGCCTTCTCCTCCTCCTCCTCCTTCTCCGCCTCCTCCTCCATCCTTTTTCCTGGTATATAATTCCTCACGGGCGCACCCCCCTCGGGCGGGCCTGGCGTTTCGCTTGAGACTTTCCTTCCATGTATGATCCTGAAGCTAGAAATTTGCAGCAGCTTCACGGACGGATTGTGGTGTGGTGTTCAGTGTGTTTCTCGCCTCAGCGCCGTTCACACTCGTTCCAAAGTTTGCATCAGCGTCACGGATGGAGAGCGGTTCCTTTTCAAATTGTGGCTCTCGCTTCAAAGCCGCGCGCACTCGTGGAACAAATTCGCAAGAGCTTCACGCATGGAGGTTTGGTGGCTTTCTACATGTTGCTCTCGCCATAGCACCGCACAAAGTCGTTCTGCAAGTTTGCATCGGCTTCACGGACGGAGGGCGGCTCATTTTCAATACGTGGCTCTCGTCTCAGCGCCGCGCACATTCGCTTGAAAGCGTCCAGCAAGGCCTCGGATGGTGGATGCCTCCTTTTCAAACTGTGGCTCCTGCCTCAGCACCGCGCATATCTGCTTCCAGCGCTTACATCAATCTTCATGACTCGTAGGGCCGAACTCCCCAGAACGGTGTTCTGGCACGGTTTAGGGTTATCAGGACGCGACAGTCACACTGCTTCGCGGTGTTGAATTCCAAGGAATGGTGTGCTGGCGTGATTCAGAGTTCTTGGGGCCCAACAATCACATTGATCTGCGGCGGTGCAGTCGCAGGAATGCTGTTTTGGCACCGTTGAGGGTTCTTAGACGGCTGTCTTCTAAGCGGTCGCTTCCCGCAACGAGCATACATTCGCTTAGGGACTGATAGCGAGGAAACTTTGAGGGAGTGTTGATTGTAACATCGTTGATGCAACTTCAGTTCACACTGGTCCTCCTCTTTCTCCCCCTCCCCCTCCTGAATCTTTGATCCACCTCTATTCAAGTGGCTTGCGCCAGTCCGCCGACCCAAAGGTTGGGCCTCAAGGCTCGACATGACAACTCGTATCCCCCTGCTTGGGACCCTCTCGTGGCCCTCTTGGCGCTCTGTTGGGCCGTCTTGGGAGTCTGTTGGGCCGTCTTGGAGCCATATTGGGGGCCTCATGGGCCGACTTGGGACGATATTGGGGGCCCCTTGGGCCGTCCTGAATGCTGTCATCACGAAAAGACGGGCATTCTAGAAATGCACGTTTCCCGGATGGAATGTGACGAGTTTTGCTTCCTGGGGCCGCTTCGGCGATACTTTGGGAGCACTCATGGGCCCGATTCGGGGCATCCTGGCTGCCGCCTTCAAGCCATCTTCAAGCCATCTTCAAGCGATGGAGCTCTCGTGGGCCGCCTTCAAGCCATCTTGGCTGTCGTGGGGCTACCCTGGGCCAGCTCGACGCTCTCTTGGACTATCTTGGCGCTGGGCTTGGGCTGTCTTGGGTCGCCTTGGGGCTCTCTGAGGGCTCCAGAAGCCAGGGGAGAAGCGTTGACGAGCTCATGGGCCCTCAGGCGGGTGCTAATGGGAGGTGGCCCAAATCGGGGGTGAAGAACAGGGCCCTCAAGGGGCCCTAAATGGCCCCCTTAGGGCCCTTTTCTTCACCCTCCATGTGGGCCACCCCCCCATTAGCACCCGCCCGACCCCCGCCCACCCCCCCTCAAAGGGCATGTCGGAATTCCAGGGAGAGGGAAGAGAGGAAGGGGAACAGCCAATAATATATAACTTCCCTGTCGCACCCCGAGGCCAGTCGAAAGGGAGGCCGGGCGTTCCGCCCGAGACTTCCCCACCATCTTTGACCCTGAAGCTGAAAATTTGCAAGCACGGATGGAGGGCGAATTTCTTTCAAAATGTGGTTCTCGCCTCAGCGCCGTCGTCTTAGTGCCGCGCACATTTGGTTTAAAAGTGGACAACCGTTCCACAGATGAAGGGCGGGCCATTTTCAAATGTGGTTCTCGCCATCTCCCTGCGCGCATTCATTGCACAAGCTTGCAAGAGTTGAACGGATGGAGCGCGGCTCGTTTTCAAAGTGCGGTTCTCGCCTTAGCGCCGCGCACACTCGTCTTAAGAATTTGCAACCGTCTCAAAGATGATCATGGCCAGTGTTCCAGAAGCGGTGTAACGATGTCGGAATGCCAGGGCTCACGTTGATTCGCGGTGTTGAAGTTGCAGGAACGGTGTGCTGGCATGACTTAGGGTCGTCATGACGCAGCATGAACGGTGATTCGCGGCTTTCAAGTTCCAGGAATGGTGTTCTCAGTGAACATGAATACATGCAGGGGCCTATCACGAGGGAATCTGGAGGGAAGGTTTGTTGCAAGTTCGTTGGTGAATATTGGGTTTGCATTGGTCCTCCTCCTCCTCCTCCTCCTCCTCCTCCTCCTGCTCCTCCTCCCCCTCCTTCTTCTCCTTCTCATCACCAGCATCATCGGCATCGTCATCATCATCATCATCATCAGCATCATCATCATCATCAGCATCATCATCATCATCATCATCATCATCAGCATCATCATCATCATCATCATCACGATCATCATCATCACGATCATCATCATCAGCATCAGCATCATCATCATCATCATCATCCGCATCAGCATCAGCATCAGCATCATCACCATCATCATCCTCATCATCATCATCATTCATCATCATCATCATCATCATCATCATCATCATCATCATCATCATCATCATCATCTGTATCACCATCATGATCACCATCAGCAGCAGCATCATCATGATCATCATCAGCAGCATCATCATCAGCAGCAGCATCATCATCCTAATCATGATCCCCTCCATCATCCTTATCCTCCTCCTCCTCCTCATCCTCCTCCGCCTCGCCCCCCTCCTCGCCCCCCTCCTCGCCCCATCGCCCTCCTCGCCCCCTCGCCCCCCTCGCCTGTCTAGGTATCCCTCCTCGCCCCCTCGCCTTCCTCGCCTTCCTAGGCATCCTCATCACCACCGCCCCCTCGGCATCCTCCTCCATCTTAGTCCTCCTCATCCTTGATCATCCTCCTTGATCCTCTTTTCCCTCCTCGATCCTCCTCCTCCCCCTCCTCCTCTTCGCCCCTGTCGGGAGGCGGAGCTCCTGACCGAGACCAAGATATCAGACTTGGGCTCCGCCGCGAGGGTGTGCGACATGCTCCACGAGCGCGGGCCGCGCACCGTGGTGATTACCACGCTGGACACCCCAGACGCGACCGAGGACCGCCTCGGGTTTCGGGCGGTACCACTCGGGCAGTGCCTCTCTCCCTCCCGCATCCCTCCTACTCCCTCCCGCCCCTCTCCCTCCCGCATCCCTCCCTCCTGCTCCCTCCCTCCCTCCCTCCCTCCCTCCTCCCTCCTGCATCTCTCCTCCCTCCCGCCTCCCTCCCGCCTCGGTCCCTCCCGCATCCCTCCCTCCTGCTCCATCCCTCCTCTGTCCGACCCTCATCAGCAGCGCGACCCGTCTCTGGATCGGCGAGTCTCTTTCGACGAGGAGGTTGGGAGCATCGATGGCGGCACGAGCGACCAGGGTTCCATCGGCAGCAAGGGCGCGCGCGGCCGCAGCGCAGGCTGCCGTCGGAGTCAGAAGGACCAGGCCGTCAAGAACCTCGACCGCTTGCTGGCGAAAGCGGCCGAGGCCACTGCAGACTTCGAGCTCCGTGCTGTGTTGGAGGCCCAACGGTCGAGGCTGCAGGGCCAGGCGGAAGCGCACAACGGCTCGGAGGTCGACGCTGTGAAGCGCGCCGGCGGCACTTGGAAGCAGGCGAGGCACAGGCACGAGCAGATGGTGAGCCAGGTGCTTCGGCTGCGCCGTCAACCCCACGCTGCCGAGGCAAAGGAGCAGGAAGCCGCCTTAGTGCTCGCCAAAGCCGAGGCGGACCAGAAGAAGGCTACTCGCGTCCTTGATCAAGCAGAAGGTAGCAAGGCGGCAGCCGAGCAGCAGGGCAAGGGCGTGCATTTCAGCGTCCACATGAATCGAGAGGTTTTTGAGAAGTTCGAAGGGTGGGAGTGCGAGGAGTCCGACAAGGTCACCCTCCGCAGTCTCAAGAAGGAATTGCAGATGACGCAGGAATCGCTTGCCGCGAAGGGCTCCGATTTGCAGGCGTTCATGACCAGACTCGACTCGGTCAAGAAGGACGTCGAGGAGCGCATGGGCAAGAAGAGCAAGACCGATCAGGGCCAGGCAGCGCCGACCCAGGAGGCCACAGGCAAGCCACAGACGGGGTCGGCTACACCCACGGCAACACCGACGCCACCCTCGGCATCGGAGGAGCAGCTCAAGCAGGAGGCCGCGCGGCTCTCGCAGGCCAAGTTCGACGCGGTGGAGAAGGCGCAGGAGGCGGCCGATCTCAAGGTCAAGGGGGGCGGCAAGGGCTCGGCAGCAGCAGGCGCAGGCGCGCCAGCTGCGGCCGCGGCGCGAGGTCGCAGTCGACGCCGTCGAGGAGGACATTTTACTAGCGGCGACGGGGCCCAGCAGCGCTTCCGCCGCTGCGAGCCCAGGCGTCACATCCACGGCGCCTCCCACCAGTGCCTTCTCGGCCACTTCAAGTGAACCTAGTGCCGCGACTGCTTCATCTGTGGGTCCGAGCAGCACGGCAATAAGTTCTTCCACTTCATTGGGGACTAGTGGCGAGGCTGTGCAGACGCAGCCCGGGTGCACTGTCAACGTTTTCTTCAGTAGCATGACGCGCATTGGCGACGAGGCTCGGGGGGGTACCTGACGGAGCTCAGCCGCGCACGCGATCATCTTGGTCTGTGCGAGACGCGCGCTAGTAAAATGGATACACGGACATGCATCGGCAAAGCGAGAAGCTCTTCTCTGCGCCTGATCCACAGCGGGGCCAGGCCCAAGTCTCGCTAGTCGAAGGGTGACCGGCAGCATTTTACGGAGGGTGGCGAGTGGCTACCTGCTCGCAATCATCGGCCAGCTCGTCTGCTCGACGCCGCTTTCACATCCAGCAAGCTTCAAGCTGAAAGAGGAAGAGTTCTTGGCGGATGTCTCCCATGCCTTCTGGACATGAAGGGTTTCACGCTCGCAATTTTCATCGACCACGGTTTCTCAGCGCTGGGGTTCACTCGCGAGAGCTTGAACCTCTTTGCTAAGTTGGGATGCGCGCTGGCGGTCATCCGCCTGCCGCGGCTCGTGCTGGCCAGCTGGGGCATGCCCCCCACCGGCCTGAGGAGGTCGGAATTTCTGACGCGAGTCGGCGGCTCTGCGTGGCTGTCTGGCGCCGAGTTTATCTGCGCGCCAAGCGGCAAGCGAAAATCGCCCCACAATGTCACGTTGATTCTGTTGTGTTGAGTGAAGCCGATCGCCCGCATTTGCGATCGGTCTCCGGAGTAGTGGGCGCCCCTTGGAAGCCGCGCGTAGGTCTCGGCAGCAGTGTGCTTGTTGCCTCCAGCAGTCAGATGCTCACTCGTGTTTTAGCCTTGCCCAAGTAGTTGCCTCGCGTGCGCCGACCTGCCGGGCGGCCAGCCCCAGGGTCTAAGTCCAGCAAGGCCATGCCTCAGCGTAGGATTGCACAGCAGGTTGCGCACGAGCGTCGCGATTGCCAGGTGCGCGAGTGGTTCAGTGAACAGCCCGAGCGTTGCAATCGCAGCAAGAGAGAGCAGCAAGTGTGTAGCACTGATCCCCATAGTAGAGTGGGCAGCAATGCGGAAGCAGGTGTCGACGGCGAGGAACTAGGCCCCGACGTCAGCGAGGAGGACCCGTGGCTCCACGGGGCCAACTTCGGACTGGCCGCCCCGACCGCACCTGCCTCTCCTGTGGGTGATCAGTTTCAGTCAAATTCAGTCCAGCATGAGACCCCCGCCCCGTGCGCCGCCCCTGTCGAGTCAGGTTCCGCACCGCCAGTGGAGAGCCCAGGGCCCCCCATTTCTTCCGGGCCAGTAGCTTACTATACTCCTGAGCGGCTGTGGACAGAGCGTCGGGGAGCTGTCGGGCTTCTCCCTGCTGCTGCCTCGCCCCCTGCCCCTGATGTTGCCTCCTCCGTGGCCTTGTGGCCCTGCTCGAGCGATTCGGGCCTCGTCTCAGCCCTGTTCGCGGCCTGGTTCCACGCGGCGCGGTGGGGGCGCGGCCGCAAGAAACCATTGCAAGAGACCAAACCCTGGAAAAAAAAAACGTGAAGTGTCTTGCCCACGGCTTGGGTTTCTTAACCGACGGCGTCACACGGAGAAACCCAGGGGGCCTTGGCCCGAGTAGTTTCTTAGCAGGCCGCACTCGTAGAATACGCCAGCACGGCTCGGGGGGAAATGCGCGGCGACCTGGGGCGCGAACTACATGGGATGGCGGCAGCGCCCCCGCGGCCAAAGGAAATCCTCGGGTGCCCCGCGAAATCCCGTAACAGATTCTTTCGTCGCCGCTAGCGCCCGACGGCCAGTCCCAAGGTTCCAAGAAACCGAAGGCGCATTGGCGGGCCGCGAAATTTCCCCGCACCCCCCGCCGAGACATATCCTGTCTGGGGTTGCGCCGCATTCACGAGAACCCACGTTAACTTCAAGATCCAATCGGTCACCGTTAAGGTTTGCCTTTGGTGCCCAGGCCCGCATGGCGACTTGCGCATCCTGGACAGCACAGAACCGATGCCGACAATGCAAACCTTATCCGGCCAGGGCACACGGCGCGCACGCGCGCGCGCGCCCGCGCGCGCGGGGAGTGCTGCACTGCCCACATGAGAAAACATTCACAGGAGCCCATGTTAACTTCAAAATCCAAGTGGTCACCGTTAAGGGTTGACTTTAGTCTCCAAGCGAACATGGCGATTTTCTGTATGCTGGAGAATACAGAACCGACTTATTCCGGCAATGCAAGCCGTAGCAGGCTGGGGCGCACGGCGGATACGCGCGCTGCGCGCGCGGGGACCGCTGCATTGTCCACGACAGATAACGTTCACAAGAACCCATGTTAACTTCAAAATCCAATCGGTCACCGTTAAGGGCGGACTTTAGTGTCCAGGCCAACATGGCGACCTTTATGTTCTGGACAATACAGAACCTGTCCTGACAATGCAAACCTTATCTAGCCAGGGCGCACGGCGTGTCCGCGCGCGTGCGCGCGCGCCCGCGTGCGCGGGGAGTGCTGTATTGTCCACAATAGAGAACATGCACAAGAGCCCTGGCTAACTTCAAAATCCAATCGGTCTCCGTTGAGGGTTGACTCTGGTTTCCAGGCCGACATAGCGACTTCTGCATTCTGGGCAATATACAGCCAATGCGAACAATGCAAGCCCGATCAGGCCAGGGCGCGCGCGCGCTCGCCCGCGTGCGCGGGGAGTGCTGTATTGTCGCAAGGATGCAAAACACTCAAGGAACCTTTGGCGCCCGGGGGGTTCTTCGGTCGCAGGCCGTTTGATTACCCGAAGTGCAACTGGGAAGAAACCCAGGGGATCCTGGACACGAAAGTCCCTTGGCAACCTCGAGAACCTATCGCGCAACACGCGGCGCGAACAAACTAAAGGCAAGCTGGCGAAGGACATCCGGTTTCTTGATGTTCGCCCCCACTGTAGAAGCCACCGTTCACTCCCATCACGGACAGGCCGCCCCCAGCAGATCGCGCGGCGACGCTTCCGAGTTTCTCGAGACACAGGCGCAGGAGGCCACGCTTGCGCGGGAGGCTGCGCTCAGGGATAAGGTTGGAGTTGATGGACACGAGTCTCGAGAGTGCTGACCACCGTTGCAAGGTATCGCGATGGGGACTCATGTATCAAGCAGCAGTTTCTCTTCCTGGGCGCTATCGGGCGGCTCAGGGAGCGACGGCAGGTTATCCGGCCTGAGGTGCACTTGGGAATTCTGGCAGCAGTTTTTCGAGCGCACGGCTGAGAGTTCTCTCGAGGAGCTCAAGGCCGCAGCGGAGGCAGCAGGCAGCGTGGCTCGGCGGGCTCAGCGACGCGCGCTCCATCAGGCCATGAGCGATTTCCGCGCGCGGTCTGAATCCGCCCCAGCTGTCAGTGCTCTACAAAGGGCCATCAGAGAGCAGCCACTTGTCAGCGATGCATTAGAAGTGAATGGTACAACAGTTTTTCATACCAAATATACCATGGATCACAAACGTCAGCATTGAGTTTTTTTTTGCGGGGTCCGCCAGGCCAGCCGGCGAGCGAACCGAGCGGGCTCTTCCATGACATTCGACAGAGAGTTGCAGGCGCAGCGATTCCTCCACTTGCTGGTGTTATCCTGAGGGGGGCGCCCAACCGTATAACATGTGGCGCCATGGCTGTGGACCGT